ATTATCATACGAGAAGCACGCATGCACACGCATAGCCTACGCACGTATCCAAGAATGTTCGGTTATTTGTAAACGTTGCAGTGTGCAGCGGTACACTGGCCATATAGCTTACTGACAGTATCACGACATTATAATCTATATCTTACTGCCGATCTCAATGCCTAGAAGTTTTCGTTAGCTCTTTAACAGATAGGTTTTCAGTCATGTCCTATGTACTCCAGTTCCGATGTCCTCTGCACATCGAACGCCAAGAAATTTCCCTGTGAACTTTCTCTCGATTCCAACGATATGTTAGGAATGGCTATATCATAAACGAGCATCTTGCATTGTACAGTTTTTTGATTAAAACATAACACCCGTAGTTTTTGAGCCTGTCAAACGGCTGAAATAGAACTAAGGACATTTTAACGAATACGTGAAACTTTGCCTAAATCCAGTACAAGTTCTATTCAGCGCTCGAGCTAGTCAAACAGTAGTTCAGCATATATATTCAACTACTTCATTTTCTCACAGTTACTTCGATGATGAATGAAACCATTATAACGAACGCATGGTTCACAAAGCTATCATATGCATATCAACGGCGCATTAGCTACCGACTGTTACATTGTCCTTATAGAGAACATTAAGCGAACATGGTTCATCAAAGCGAAAATAGCGAAGATCCTATAACCATGAAGCAGATGATACGATGATTACAGATGCGTGTCGAAGACTTTAGATAACCAGTCGGAACGATGCGGATTGCGTGATTCTTTGTGGCAGTAAAATAATTTCAAGAACGCTGTCTCTCTGGGCCATGTGTCAGAAATGACCTGAAGAAAAAGTAAAAACGTATACAAGTTGCAGATTATTCACTATTTGAGGCGTAGCGGAAAGAAAGAAAGATGTGGGTGGCATAGACAGATCGAAACCCGCCACGTAGTAGCCTCAATTATGCATGCTTTTTTCACGCAGTAGCAGCATATTGCATTACAGCCTATACATGTAGATAATATAGAGTCAAAAACCGATCAAACTCTGATTCGAAAATAAACGACGTTGGTATCACTTGAAGGCACCTTGAGCCTGATAATAATGATGGTTCCAGTAATGATTATGGCAACCATGATGCCATTATAATTTTTGTAGTTCTATGAAAGAACTCGATCACTTGTGCGGATATATATATATCCGCACAGGACAGCCATCGATTAATAACAGTAAATAACAATCGGCTAGTAAATATACAAACTGCATTTCGGTCACTTAGGGTTATAAAATAGTTTGGTATATGTAGCTCAAATTGTTGTCTTGACAAAGAGTACACTGCAAAATACTCGTTGTGGTGAGCACGCCGTTGAGGCGCATAACCGAGCATTGAATGACAGTCCGATAAATCAACTCAACGATCAGTTATTCCAGACATCGGTGACAATTTTACAGGGTTTACTGCACAAGCAAAGGCCAAAATTAAACACGTAGAAAATAGTACAACTTTGTCAGAACGAAGGACCTAAATTAGTGATGGGTAAAGCGCTATGAAGCGACCTGTAAACTTGTGGTAAATGTCAACTTCGGCAGAATTGACAAGCATTTTAATGCTACATGATCGACATCGGATCCTACACGATAACAAGACCATCGATTATTAGGAAAAAAATCAACGGCATAACACCCAATTTTCATATGAAAATAAGTAAACTTAAATTCTAGTGCAAATACACCAAAAGTTTTACGTGAAATTCTTATCTCATACCAATTTTGCAGATGCCAGTTTTCAAAGGAATAGTCCCTGTGGAGATATCAATGAGCTATGCGTAAAAGCAAATACCAGAAAATTCTATAACTTAACTATATATAATATATATATATATAATAACTCTTTAAATTCAGGTCAAGCAGATATATATATATCAGACGTTGCAATTTGTACAAGATACTATGATTGATCTGCCCTATTATAACCACATAATTTCTTAATTGTTGAAGAATCGAAAAAGGGTTTCAAACCAAAAAATTTCCTATACAGTCGCAGGTTCGACCACTTACCAGATCATTTAGACAAAATATGTAAGAGGATTAATATGTTGTTATTTAATTTGTTAATTGTACTTTGTCGAGGGCCTAAATATCCGTATATAAGAAAAACGGCCACTCTGAAACAGTATCGAAGCTTAAGAGCAATAACGCTGTTAAACATTTGGACATAAAAAGGAACTTTCGAAAAGCTAAATGGCACAAAAAAAGGCACACAATAACTGAATATGGCATTCAATATCACGCAGCGTATGCGCGTTTAATGTCTAGGCGTACACGAATTCACCTTCCCGTCCTTCCTTAAGTAGGCCAACAGCAAAACTTCCCGCTTTTCACTAATTTCTCCTAACCTAATAATAAGATTCCGTTGCTGTCAGATATACTTCAGTGTTTTCGATTTCAGATCTTCCGAAATGCATTTAAGTGCTGTTTTCGTTGGAAGGAAGTGGCGTGCACTTTGGGTTTCCGCACTTAATAGATTAAAATAAGCTTCTTATAGAAGTTATTGCGGTTTGATTAAAATTTCGCTTTTCTGATATATTTTATGTGCATACATGCGCAAACTAGGTATTTAGAACCCTCGGACGATTGTTTGACGATATCCTCACGCGTATCAGCTGCGCGGCTCACAGTGACAAGCGACGGCTAGAGAGATAAATAACGCATTACCTTCCGGAAACTAGAAAAACCCCTTAATAATATTTATTTTAATAAATTTATTTATTCAGATTGACGCCAGATGCCGTACTCATACCCAGCTTTCAACTTATAAGAGTGAAAATAGACATATCAGTTGATATTTATTCCTACGAATTAGTTTTAGCAATGTTCTTTTCCTGCCCGCTTAGCTGCACTACGTTCGCTTTGCAGAACTACCTCCTGCCACCCCTGAACATGTCGATCCAAGAACTTCAAAGGTTATTCAGGTTTTTCCTATCCTAACCAACGTCAACTTTCAAATGATATCCTACAATAACTTTTTATACAGTACTGTATACCTCGACAATATCAAATAAAGTGCGTCAAACTTGCACGGTGTCACAAGATATCCCATAAAATGTCCAATAACTTTCCATCTGGAGGTCCTTCAATGCGGTAAATTTAGTCTTAATGGGTTACGAAAATCACTTGTCATAATTTTTGCCTAAAAGCCACATAATAGTATTACAGTATTGAAATAAGGCCGAGGGTCACAAAATCAAAAGGATGGATATTTAATTCAGCAATATTATTTCACATTATAAAAAATCTATACTTGCCATCGATTTTAGCCTAAGACGGTCAATAGCCTTTGGATAGTCCTTCGTTCGTGCCTTCGCTTCAGCAAACATTTCCGTAAACACAACGAGAAAAGTTTCATTCTTTTCGAAGTGTGCTAATAGACAAAACAGGCAAGCGTCTTGGCGCTGTCATGGCAGTTTTTCTATGATTTTATAGATCCGATTAGCAACGTATGCGGCTAGATGTACACTCAACACACGAATCAAATGAAGCAGCATTACTGATACTAAAAGATTAGCTAGTTTAAGCATGGCCAAAGCTCATTATGCCTTTTTGAAACGCAAGTTCGTCATACGCGAACTCCACTCGGACAGTTGTTTGGCTAGGAGTGTGCGCTTCGCAAAAAACAAGCCAGACTGTCGGCAGGTTACAGGCAAGGCGTTGTTCTTCAAAGGGGCAACGCTCACCCAGCAGCCCCACGTCGCGGGAGTGACTCGAGGCATTCCTACATGGATGTAAAAATAGCGACTGTTAACTCTTGGACTTTAAGAATACCCAAGCAAGGCATCACCATAAAAAACATTAGATAAAGAAAAAACGAAATCTTCATTTCTTCGAGTACAAGGACATATAATAAGGACGTATAATTAATCTCCCGTCTGATGCCTGCTCCGTTACTTAACAAGAATGTTTGGCAATAACTATATATGGCCATGCGAAATCATAGCAGCGTGCTAATTAGTCAAAATATAATTCTGTTATAAGATGCGATATATCAACATACAGAAAGGGATAATTATCTTAAGACAGATGTTCTAAGTGTCAAGGAATAACGACGAGATATAAGCATTCAGAAGAACGATTCCTATGCAAAGGAAATTTTGAAAATCTATTCCAGCTACTAATGCCCACTGGAAAGAATAACGGAGTCGAGCAGCAGTAGCCGGAATCACTTTGGCCGTAAAGTACAAAACAATTTCTGTACAGAGTTTTTGAATAGAAACAGATTTTGTTTCAACATCAAGTTCTGCTTTAACTATATATAATAGGCGACTCTGACTTACAGAAGGCTCTGGCTTGAGTTTTCTTTGATCTTTGGTATCATGCGTATTTTAGAATTCGAAAGAAGATAAGTTAACTTGTATTGTATTAGCGTAGCCGAAATAAAATTAATCTAGTAAGTTTTCTTTAGAGTAAAAACTTCGACTTGGTTCTCTAAGATGATCCTTTACAATTAGGAAAATTATAGAACTTAATTAATATATCAGTATAGTCAGTGTATACGTCACCTCACTACTTGAGGGTGTACATCTCCAAAATATTGGAAGGCGTTGTATAAAAAATAATAGTTAAGAAATACCGTAACTGAAACAAACTAGAAGGACGTAACCCAAGTGAGTTATTATACTTTTTTTTTGCAAAACGCTTCCGTTATTATCATATTTACAACGAAAACAATGAAAAAAGACGCAAATGGTCTAGAATGTACAACCGCATATGTAACTTAATGTGTTCAGCTTTATGTGCTTTTATATTTAACGGTTGCACATATGGGAAAATAGTCTTGCGCGTACAACGTAACTTTTATTACACGAGCAAAACTTCATCTTGTTAGTTGAAGTGACTCGAGTTGATTGAGTCAAGTGAAAGGCTGTATGAAGTAGTTCTCTGTCGGCCACACAGTTCAAATTTCCCTCCAACTGATATGTGAACAATCGGCTGATGCGTTCATCCAGATGCGGATCACAGGCCTCATTGTTTATTATTAGATTGAATTGTGCAAATTCACTCAGTAGCATAGTTGAATTCTGGTGTGTGTGTGGGTGTTTGTTTTTCGTTTCCCGGTCGTGCTTACGAAGATCTAAAGGTTCGTATGTAATTTCCACAAAATAATGACGTATGCTTGAGTGCACATCTTGAGCACGTACTGCATGAAGCAGTCATAAGTCAATATATTTATATATCAAAGAATTATACTTTAGGAGTAAATATCTTGATTAAGAGCGAATTGTCAGTTTAATACAGAAGGGCTTACTGCTAAATAAACTATAGAGAAATAGACAGTATTACTCCAAATACTGTATTATTTATTATAGCTCTAGTTTTATTATATAGTATAGTGATATATTTAAGAACGGATGATACGAACGAGTGAATTTAGAATAAAGAGCTGTTTATGGATGATGTAGTTTAATGCGTTGATGTTACGTACTTTCACGCAGACGTGTGTTATATTTAAATAAAGTTATTATTGGAATACAATAAAAAGTATAAAAATGTTTATCTGGGCACCACTAACGATTTTTCTTTGTTGAGTAAGCATAAAATATAACAGGCAGATTGCATTGCTCGCATTGTGCAAAGCGGGTAAAATCACCTCCCTTATATCATCTCCCTTTTTGACAGATGTTTATGTCACGTAGTGAGTATGATCGAGGAGTAAATACGTTCTCCCCGGAGGGCCGTCTGTTCCAAGTTGAATATGCCATTGAGGCAATTAAGGTAAACAACGTGCATTACTAATATATTGTGCGGTTAAGTGTGTAATGTGTAAAGTAGTGCATGCATACAGATTGCTAATGATTGCATATAGATCGTTTTTTTTACATAATGCGTACAAAGAAAGCAAATCATTAAATTTTTCTTTTATTAATTTTTTAGTTCTAATAACGTGTGATTCTCAAATGTGCATATCTATGACCTGTAGTTGGGTTCAACAGCTATCGGTATCCAGACATCAGAAGGGTGCGTACTAGCCGTCGAAAAACGTGTTACGTCGCCACTCATGGAAAGCACGACAATCGAAAAAATTGTCGAAATTGATAATCATATCGGATGCGCCGTCTCCGGACTGATGGCCGACTCGCGCACCTTGATCGATCGCGCCCGTGTCGAGGCTCAGAACCACTGGTTCCTATACAATGAAAAAATGCACGTTGAATCCTGTGCTCAGGCGGTTTCTAATTTGGCTATTAAATTTGGCGATAGCGATAATGATGATGGAGCCGCGATGTCGCGACCGTTTGGAGTGGCTATTTTGTTTGCAGGAATCGATGCAAACAAAGGACCTCAGCTGTACGTATAACCGCCTAATGATTAGTATTAGGTCGATACAAGTGATTCCCGAAAACTTTGAAATAACTCTTGAATCAATTAGTTAACTATAATTTTTATTATCTTAGAGGTACTTCCGTTTATTTTTCCACACTTGTCCCGGCGCTCTGGTAATTTCTGGATAATTATGTACATGCCATTCTTGTTCCAATGTAGTTTCTCTATCTATGGCTGCTTAAAGTAAATCGACAGTGGGATATTCTTACCCTTAACTCATCCCTTTGTGAGCACGGAAAACCTTATGATCACACAGACTTAGATTAGATTCCTTTGCTTAATGATTAGTTTGTTTAGTAATTAAGGAATGGCGATTAGGTCTGGCATTGTCATCGAGTAACCAGACTGCGTGCTTTGAGGTGTTGTGCTCACGGTCCACGAATCTCTTAAAGAACTCAAGATAGCGGGCTGCACCTATTGTTTCATTTTTGGCGAGTGTCTCATAGTAGTAGACGTTCATAGCAAATTTTAACATCACTTTACGTCGGAACCTACTCGACACTGCCACGGAACTCAACTTCTCTCCAAACGATACAACTTTTTCGCCTGGCCCCTTTCCGATAGGCGGTAAAAATTGAACGGCGAATGTACGTTCCAAACGAGTCTTTTGCTAATTAATGTTCCCCAAATTACACGAAGAATACACAACACGGATTTCCAACTGATCTGTAGTCAATTCAGTAGAAACTTATTTTTTACCCAGTTTCCGCCTCTTCGGTATTTGGATTGTAATTCTATAACATGTTCATCTAAAATGCAAATCTTGGCCAATAAAGCTTTCGGACCCCAAATTCTGCTTTTGTGAAAGTCTACTCAATTGTGCCAATATTTTTGTTTTCGGATCCCTACATATGACTACTCTTCCCGTGGTCTTCAGCATTACGATCTCCGTTCTTGAAGTATTTGCGCCATTCGCATACTGTGCTCTCGCTTAAGGTCTCCTCGTGTACGTCTTCACCAATCTTCGATAGTATTCTGCAGCGCTGTGGCCTATAGGTATATGGTTCAGCAATGATAAATAAAGAGTGTTACTGCTGTAATCTAAAAGAAAGGCTGACAAAAACCAGGTAGAGGCCAATATAGACTTAATGTTTTGCTTACAGAAATTCAGCTGTCATATCAAGGTAACGCATATCATTGTTCTAAAGAACGGTAACACAAAAACTATAGTGTATTTGGCATTTTTGGAAAAGCACTTCGTGTTAATGTTCTACATCGCAACTGAGATTTATTCAACGTTTGTTCGAGGCACAAATCTACGTATCCGACTCCACACAATAAAAGGGTTATGGTTGAAATGAATCTTGGTTTCTTGATACTTGTGGTTAAATTCATGGCGCATCATCTATTTAAGCACATGTTCTTAATTTCGTAAAGTCGGCATTATATTAGATAGTTAGTGTCTAGGACGAGACAAATATGCCTCTTTCCAAGTTTTTGTCATATAATTTGGGTCAGCTTTTGCAAGAGGCCTTTGTAATTTTGGATGAAGCGCATTGGATCCAGCCTGTTCTGTCTAGTAACGGCGTCATCGGTAACCTTTTGTTCATATGAGATTCGTGTAGCCCTCTTGTATTTCTACCTTCAATAATGCCCCTTATGTCTGTTTAATTTTGGAAAAGAAGCTTCGACATTCTAAGTATATTTAGTTCTATGAACCGTTGTCTGTCCGCATGGGTTCTTACTTCACACGGCTTCAGATGTATACGAGGGTTTTGTAAGCTAACGATTGCTCATTATTTTCAGTTTCCATATGGATCCTTCTGGAACGTATGTCGAATTCCTTGCTAAGGCCATCGGGTCGGGATCTGAGGGAGCGCAGCAGGCTCTCCAAGAGAAATATCACAAATCGATGACACTTAAAGATGCTCTCAAGGAGACGTTAGTTATCTTGAAGCAGGTGATGGAGGAGAAGTTGAGCTCTGTTAACGTTGAGGTAGCCACCGTAACGAAAGAAAAGGGATTCCACATGTTTACCAAGGCAGAGGTTGAGGAAGTAATCAAAGATATTTAAATATGCCTTAAACTCTAGCTAACTTGACCAGCTTTTGTGCTAACGGTAACACACATCATAGTTGGACTGACACTATACTGCGCAGACGTAAGAAGTCATTAGTTCTCTCATACGTCCAATTCAAAGGCAAAGGAAGTATAGTGAAATAAATTTTTACTTAAACTAACTGCAGCGTTACCTTTCATTACTAGCTAAAAGACGTGAATCTAAAGAAGTCTTCAAAAGCACTATTGGCTAGTCATGAAGCCACTGTCAAAAAGTGCACGCAGATCGTCAATATAGGTACATATGAGGCATACATGCTGTGTACAATGTGACAGCTCGCGAAAGATCTTTGTAGGTAGCAGTGGAAGACTTTCCAATGGATGATCAGTTTGCCATTAAATTTAAGGTGCCGTAGTTATTCCTTCCTATTATTCAGAAATCCTATTATTCAGTAATGCAGCATTTTTTGCCCGTTTCGACTATTCCATCTATTAAATGTGTTTAATAGAAAAACTTTATTGACTATATATATAACTTAACTGACATTACATATAGCATGCGTATGTTTAACTAATTCAAAGTTCAATTCATTAGCGTTTAGGTCTATCACCGCAGTCTAGTATTGGTCTATGGTAAAACTCTCCCGACAAGTGACCTTTGGGACCTAGGATAGTCATATGCGTTTTTTGTTACTTATTTTTTTAGATCTCAATTGTTGAGTATTTCTGAATGACTTGAATAAATGTCAACAAATGCTCAATAACTTCAGAGCCTATATCCAAACAAAGAATTGGCATCTAGCTTCCTTATTGCTAGCAGCTCCTTCCGGCCTAGCACAACAAAAAAACTTTCGCCCTTTATTGGGCCCATCCTTTTTAACAATTCGCATAACGGAAGTTTCGCCATGGCCAGAGCATGTCGGAGCTGAAGGTGGTCCTTTAAGAATATTTTTCCAACTAGGGTTCAGTTGTGCTTTACGTTGAACCGTTTTAGAGGTTGTCTCTAATTCTTGCTTGTGTGCTTCGTTTGATGTATTTAAAAATACAGCTTGACTACCTGCATCGGCGCTATTAATTTCAACACCAGCTTTCTGATCATCGAGAGAATGCTTATACTTTTTTACAAAAAATGCATTTAATTTTGACTGAGTTTCAGCTGGTCGCTTGCGGAGTGCTCCGTTCTTAACCGAGTTCAGCGATTGTGTGGGACTAGTCTTTACGAGAAATACTTTAAGGGATGTTTGTATGCCTGAAAACTCTGGCCAGAAACGCGTACATTTTTTAGGAACTTTTTCTGCCGACACTAGATTTATATTTAATACGGCAGACACGGGACAATGATCTGATCCTGTGATATCTGCATGAATATCACAGCTAGTGAAATATTTTATTAATTCCGCGTCCGAGATGATGTAATCGATTCGGGTGCCGAAATTTGTCACTCTGGCAGATTTCTGCGAATTCCAGCATGTGTACTGTTCTGTTTCAAAAGGATGGAAATGGCGGAATACATCCACAAAATGAACACCTGAAATTTGATAGAAATACACTAGGTAGATGTTATTGGCGAATGATACTATTCTAGAATTATGCACGCGTTAACATGGTATGGCATGGTATATCGACATTGATATACGCATGTTCAGTGCCAACTTTCTACGATTCGGTAACTGGAGTGACAATTTTTTCTATTCAGTTCGCTGGGCAAGAGGTAAGCCTATTCTATTTCTTATGATCAATGGCCGAAAGTATTAAAGTAGTCATTCCACAATTTGATACTGCTTTAAATAATTTTGGTACTATTTTAATTCATATTGGACACTAAAAACCTATGATATCCGTATGTTTTTATCCATTTATGACACTCACTCTGAGATCTATCGAGTAGCTTACTCATCCAGATCCGTTCTGGAGCCGACTCAAATTCTTCAGAAGGATCACAGTTGTCGATTCTCTTATGCGAAATGTTCATGTCTCCAGCAAGTATGACATGGTATCCTTTTGTCACAAGATTTCGCGCCTGGTGTTCCAACATGGCATTAAAGTTACGCTTAAATTCAGCTCGTTCCGGCCTATCTGGATCATTTCGGGGGCAGTAGAGATTAAATATGACAAGAGAATGCAAGCCGCCATTTTTATCTCTGAAAAGATCATTATAGCATAAGAATACGATATGATATAATATGCAATATAAAGATAACAATAGTACCAAACACAACAATTAGTGTAATATTATATATGTACTTATTCGCTGCTTTCAATTGTTAAATAGCATCAAAACCACTATTTTATAATTAGAAAGAGCATTGTTGTTGTTTATCTTGTTATTATTGCATTTTCTAATTGTGTGGATAGTTAAACGTGTCACAAGATACATAGCAGTGGCGCTTGTAACTACTGTGTACAGCAGTTTTCATAACAGAGCAGTGGACTCACGAGAACTTATAGAGCAAGGCAATACAACGTCCTTCAGAGTCAATATTAGCGATCTCTTTGGGATCGATAAAACTTGTTGGGTCGTCGTCCCCCATCGAACGAGGAACGTCCATGAGCATGTCCATTGCTTCGATTCCTTCATCGGTACACCTTCGGAGAAAAACGTTAAATGCATTTTTATTACGTTTAGTATTATAGTATACCGATATAAAATAAAATAGATACAATAAAAATGAAGAATGCCTACTAATATGCAGTAGAAATATGAGGCTAATTAATTATTATGGTATGTGCATGGTCGTGTTCTATTGCACTGTTACAACTTTCATTCTCATAATTTGATTGGTATGTTTGTACATATATACATAGCTTCGATCCGTAGACCCTTATTACGAGAGATCAGTTTAAATAATGCTAAACCTCTGCTAGTATATAGTGCATGTTCTTAAACCTTTGTAGAAGCTCATTAACAGCGAAGGGTCGCAATTTATCCGATGAAAACGTGGCAACCCCTGAGTAACCGGTTAAGGCACGCGGGAAAGCGAAATACGAATTATAGCCGGAAACACACGCCAGGTCGGATTCCAAAGTAGATCCTAAAGTTTACGCAGAAATATCATGAAAGTTGTGAGTCCAATTTCTGTTCCTTTAGTCAAACGAAATAGAACAATGACAAAGATTTAACTGTTAAAAAATCCGTAAAGACTACCAGCCCGCTTAGTACTTACTGTTTGTTCTAGTTTCCTGGAAACATATAACCTCGGCCTTAAAAGCGTCCAGTGTTTCTCTAAGGAACCCTTTAAAAGTGCGCAATCCATTAATATTCCACGTAACGATTTTCATCTGAAATAGTTTAAATAATTCACTCGGCTGCCGAGACGGTACACCAGAGGTAGAGTTCTGTACCAGTGTTAGAAAAGAGATAATTGAGAGTAGATTGCTTTCACTCAGGTTAAACAAAATGAAATTAGCTGAAAAATACTGTGTATAGTTTAAAACTGAATCACTTAAAGCTATTACTGCCATGGCTAAAACATATCTGAAAGTATCTATACCTATGTTTTAATTCATTTCATTACGATGTCGTCCGTTTTCAGTATAGGTGACGTCCTCTAACGTTTTCAATCAGAACAACTGGGTTTTTCTATTTCCTTGGAATTCTGTTCACACAACAGTAGCACGTCTGATAAAACATATGATACACGTATATTTCAAACATTGGTACCTACGCTGGCGGTCTTGTAAACGTCATTATATTTGTAAACAGAAGTGAGGCGTCCTGGGGCAAATTTACATCCTGTTAAGATCTAACAAATAATGCTTTGTAGTACAATAAATGGATAATGCGGGCATAAATTTATACTGACACGAAATGGCAAATATATTCAGTTTGGTGAAAAATACCTTGCTGTGGAAAAATTGAACCAGAAGATGTGTATTACCTTTGTTGACGCATTCGATGACTTTAGACATTTCAAAAGGATAGTCAAACCGTGATATTCATTTCACGTCTAATTTAAAGCTTTGTTTAAACTTACTTCCGGTAGATCATCGCATCAAAAACATTTTCATGTAAATGCAAGGTCGCTGGCTTTTTGTCAACCTCGAGAACATACGGCTTCTACGAACTATGTTCAAACTCGTTTTTTTTATTCCAGCTTACAAAAAATCTTCTATGGGACACTTTAATAACGGGTTTTGGCTGTAATTCGTAAATCGCATATTAACGGGCCCCAAACACAGAGTATTTTATTTACAAAACAGATTATTTGAAATTGGCGCGAGACAGCAGTCAAAAATTTCCGTTGAAGTAAATCTAGACTAAAAATCAGTTATTTAAGTAAAACCTGTATACGTGAATGATTTGCTACTTTTCAAATTAACGATTGCAAAAAGACAATTATTGGTTGTTTAGACTTGCCTTCGGAGCTTACACACATACATGTTTACCGTCGGTCGTATTTGATGTTGTCTCTTGTTACCCTCTCCCATTGCAGCACGAACAACACACGTGTTTGACAAAACTGATGAGTATTTTCTCGCGTTCACCAATGTTCAGTGCTTTGTGAACACATATTCTTTCGTTCTTGTATATTTCCTAAGTTTCATTGGGTATACAAAGAAATGTGCAAACCTGTAAAGACAATTCAGCCCGAGGAGATCTGTCTCCTGTGTCTTCACGAAGAGAGATCAACAGCCAACGAAGAATTTAATACTGTCGTTTCGTTGTTGCGCGAGGGAAAATTTCAGCAATTATTTCAACTTCCGTGGTTCTCCATCTTTCGTCATGATAACCTGCAAGGTTTCTCTAAACAGTTACAGGAGATTATTCCGAAACTGGAGAATGCCGCTGTTCGGCTACTCTCATCAGCTGTGGCTTTTCTCTTTTACTTCATTCAGCAGAACTTTATTGGGCCAATCAACACCGAGGAGATTACTTCCACACTGTTTCCAAGTTCAAAGCAGGTGTCGTGTTTGAGTATCGATGGGGAGGACGCGTACCATTTAGTCAAGGCACCGGTGGAATTGTTTATAGCTAGAGTAATTTTGGTGGAATTTGCAGCCAAGCTTAGGTTAGCTACTTTCCACGTATGGAGACAGCGATACGCTGTTATCCACCAACGGATACTTTCTGAGCGTGTCGGCTCATTACAGGAAATCGTCAAAGAAAGCACTACTGAACTGGAGAAGAGCACTTTTGAGAATTATCCCGAACTATGGACGGAAATTCGTCTTGAAAGTGCTATGGCAAATCTTGAGTTTTTCCAAATTGCCACAACTGAAGAGCTCCTCATGAATGCTTCAGAAAGGATGGGTCTAAAGGCTGAACTAGGTGGAGCTCTCGGTACTAGAACTCATTTTCAAACAAATTCTATTGCGCAACTAGTGCTCAAAATTCAGCGGACTAAGCCACTTGACAAACCAATTTCAACAACTTCGTACGCCGAAAACAATTTGCCAATCGACGTTGCCTTGCAAGATGATACCGTTATGGACCGTACGAAATTCGACGAAGAACAGAATGACTGTACTTTATCGTGTAGTGAGCAGGCTCTTATTCTAGCTATGTCAATGCTTAAAAAACGCTTGAATGCCCCCGAGGAGTTGCTCGATGAAGAAGTAATGGTTTATTTAGATAGAGTTCTTTCTCAACCAAAACTATGGACAATACAATTCAGCGCGCTATTTCAAAGGTCGGTTCTAGAATGCATGAAAAGCCGAAAGGTAGAACGCGCCCTGTCGCAGTATCAGACGCTTGTGAACTCGGTTTCAAACGGAAGTCCAGCATTTGGGTTGAGAAGTCATATGTTCTTTCTGTTGAAGTTTCCCACTACGTGGAAGCTAGAAAGGAGTCTTGCAAATGGGTACATTTCATTAGGACTCACGAAGTCTGCCTTAGACATCTACCTTCGACTGGAGCTGTGGGAGGAGGTCGTTGAATGCTATCAAAGATTGCAAAGAAACGACCGTGCGAAAGCTATTATTACAAAATTGCTTCAGGACGAAGAGACACCTTATCTGTATTGCCTTCTTGGCGATGTTACTGGTGATCCTCTGAATTACCAAATGGCTTGGAAGCTTTCGGGGGAAAGAAATGCCAGAGCTAAACGATCTTGGGGCTCTTACCATTTCCAGCGCAAAGAATATGAATATGCCATTCCACAATTTGAAGAATCACTCGAACTTAATCGATTACATCAGCGCACGTGGCAACAACTAGCATTTGCGTACATGGAAACGGGACGTTTTGAAAAATGCGTACAAGCCTACAAACATGTGGTTAATATTGACAGTGATAACTTCGAAGCGTGGAATAACATGGCCAAGGCTTACATTTCGCTCGGTGAGAAAAAAAAGGCGTACAAGGTTTTGCAGGTTAGTAGACTATGCAATTAGAAGCGTACTTTAAACAAGATATGCTAACACGTAGGTATCACGTCTCTGTGTCAACCCTCCAACGGGCGTGGGACGGCAAACTCATGCAACTTACGAACGTCAAGCACAAGTAACAAAATATTATTATACGATTATTTAACTTATTTTTACATTTACATAGGAAAATTAAGTATACTTTAATCATATATGTTTTTCTGCAGGGAGGTTCTATATATAATTAAACCCAAAATTAGGACGCTCAGTCAAAATTACGATTTTATTACTTTCAGGAGTCGATAAAGTGCAACTATGAAGACTGGCGGATTTGGGAAAATTACCTTCTTGTATCGATGGATGTGGGTGCATTTGATGAGGTTATCAAAAGTTGGCACCGTCTTATTGACATCAAACAGAAGCATTCCGATCCGAAAATTGCGCACCTTCTAGTGCAGGTCGTTAAGGAGGACATAAAAGACTTCGACGGTAAACCCGCGTCTGCATACTTGCGTCCTAAACTATTTGAGCTGTTCGGTAGGGCAACAACCGGAGTGACGAATGACGCTGAACTCTGGGCAGCTTATGGCGATCTGTATTTTGAGAGTAAGCCGCGCGAAGGCATGAGCTGGTCAGATCACGCACATAAAATGGTTTCGTGCTATCAGAAAAGCTTGCGTTGCTATACGCAGAAAAAAAATTGGGACAAAGACGCTAATACGACATTGCAGATTATCGGAAACTGTCACAATGTGTGGTCCCAGTTGCAGAAATTAGCAAGCCGCGTGTCAACCGAGGAGAAGCGTCGTCTAGAAGAATCTTTGAGGATGACGATACGGAACATAATTACAATGGCTAAACGGGGCATTGACTATTATCTTGAGGACCAGCAAGATAGCATCGCTCAAAGAACGGAAGAACTTGAGTATCTAATAAAGCCGTGAGAAATTATTCGATTCGTTGTTGCTTATTTAGTCTCGCTTCAGTAAATTGGTAGAATTTGTTGTGAATGTTAATTAGCGCTATTTTTTTGTAAAAATTCATGTCATGTTATGACCAAAACTACTAGCTCGTCTTTGAAAACATGGATTGATCAAGTAGCTTTAACAAATTGTGATAGGTTTTCTCTGCGCGTGGTTTCTGTGGTTTAGTTGGTACCACTTCTCCTAATCATTCTTTCATTAGTCTTCGTCGTCATTATGGTTGGAGAAAGTCCAGCGCTGCTTGAGATCAGATCGTTTAGAAAACCAATTATTACATAAGTGCATGATAGGCTCCCTATAGACCGATTTACAAGTCGGGTGCATAATTTTAACCGGTTCCAACTCTATTGTGCAGTTGATATTGGTTTGACTTTTTAAGCTTTCTTAAATTAGCTTTATTATGAACAAATTAGAGGTTTGCTGTGGCCGAAGATAAAAGTTCAGCTCGTAATTCAAATTAATGGTTACAGTTTGGCGACTTAAACGCAAATTCAACGAATTATATGGATGATTAAAAATGTGCACTCTAGAATTCAAGACAGCTTATTCCAGCACTCTTCAGACGTATAGAATAACCCAGCAGCCCGCAGAAGTACGTTATTACGTTACGCCTACGATGCTAAAAAATGATATTTCCTAACTATGGACATTTTTTTGAGTAGTCTGTGCTAGAAGAAAATCCGAACGGTTTTATCATCTATGTTTGATTCTAGATATCAGCTGTAAAGTCCTCAACCTATTGCTGACGAGATTAAGAGACACCCTGTAACAATCGAGTCTACCGCTGTTGCTTTCCTCGACATTTAAGCTGACATTTGGGCAGTATAGTTAATGTATCCATTGACACATGATCCCTTCCCACTAGAGTGAAGGACGCAAAGATTATTCCTTTGTTCAACAGCAAAGGGGTACCTACGCAAGCTGCTGAATATCGTGCAACATGTTTGGTCAGTTATTTGTCTAAAGTTTTCTAGAAGCTGATTCTTAATATACTTAACAGACATCTTAAAAGCGCGGAATTTTATTTGCTTAGTCAATTTGGAAGCCGCGGGCGATGAACAAGGTACTGGCACGCCTTAGCGGGAAGTCACTAACGCGATTGAAATCCGGCATGTTTCTAGATGTCGCGTCTATTTTCAACTAGCTAAGTCACTTGCTGCAAATGTCAAAGTGTCTTGAGGGCACAACGAATATTTTTGACTGGTCAGGTCATACTGGAAAACGGGAGGCGGTTAATGGTGATCTTCCTGAGTAGCAGGTTGGGGAGTCAACCCCAAAATACCTTAAAATTCAATTCTGGCTATTGCATGTTTATCAATCTTTGTAAACTACATTCTCGAAAAAATCTAAACGGGTGGCATTTGTGAAATCAGCGATTACACAGATGGCACTTCAATACTTTTGCGCATCGCGCGTACTTCGGTCGTCAATGATGACGCATTGCGCTTGAGGCTATTGGAACTTTCAGAACAGTTCCTCTTGTTGTTGACGGCAATAAGACGGGACTTGCATTCTTCAGTTTGCTTCATAGAGGTATCCATATGTAAGTGAAAACGGTTACTAGGTCTAGGCTTCTGTTATTCTAGATTATCGAACGTTTCGGAATAAATTTTCAGGGAACGATTAAATGGCGGACTCGCTTGAAAGCACGAATGCCCATATACTATGCTATTATTGCGACACAGAAAAAAAGCCAAAGGGATTCGTGAAGGTCTCCATATTGTTAATAGGCAACTACTGCCGCTGGTGCTGTGCTACGCACTTCCAATATAGAGAAATGATTATTTGAAAATATCTCATAGATTTATCGTTTAGAGAGATGCTCCGAAATCAATGTTTGATTAAAACAGAGCCTGTGGAAACCGTCTCTATACCTCAGATAAACTACTCCCTGAGGATAAAGTTCCCAGCATACGTATTGTCGTACTTGCTTTCAAAATGTCAAAAGGTATGATTCCGCTAAAAATACTTCTCCGCTTAGCGCTGTCGTCAGCCGTTCCAGCCATGTTTGACGTTCGCTTTGTTCCTAACGAATCTGGTGGACATGCTCTCGTTTGTTGGTTATTTCCGTCAGTTTGAAACTCTTTCACTGGAACTCAGTAGCCTCCAATTCCGTGGAAGGTCTCATGCGCGAAATTTTGAAGCGTGTACATAGGATAATTATGCAAAAGCGTGTAAATGTGTCTTCTGTCAGTGTATTAATTAATAATTACTGTATAATGTAAAATTCCTTACGCATGGCATGCTTTTTATGATCATTCTTAAGAAAACTTGAACGTTGTAAAAACGGCGTTCGGCAAGACGATTATATTTTTATGTCATCCGGATAGGGACGTACGGCTTTCAATATAAAACTGCTCAGGTCCGGTTCAGTATTTGCGAAGGGGAACTTTGTCAAATTTGGCTTAAAAATCAACTTGCTTCTATTATCAGTGAAAAGTAAGATAATCGGTTTCATTCATTATCCTCCATATAAAATGGCCAATTAATAAAACTGGTTAACTCTATTTGTACTGTAGCTTTTAATAAAAGCGAGTTGCATTTTTAAATCCAAATTAACTCACCTAACTAATTAAATAACATAAACCAGACGGAAGTAACTTTTTATTACAAGTTCCAGGCAAAAGTTTCTGAATATAGGATCTTCTGTTCAGCTATTAGTAAAATTACATCTTCTGGTAACCGTCGGTGACCCTAATTGAGTACATTTTATGCTGCTGGGCATTCATAGTTTAAATGAGAAATTCGAATCCGTTTGTATAACTATGTTAGTATGAGGCAAAAACATAGGATGATAGTATATGAGCCAAAATCTCTAATGCGTTGAAATTGTAGTTCTTTGAAATTGTAGCCTGGAATGGGGTGGCTTGTATCTCTAGCTCACAAACAATGCGTCTGTCCAAGCTAGATCTCTGGAAGATTGTTGAAAGGAGATCTTGGCTTTGATAGGATCGAAGCTAATTGCAATATGTAGCAGCAAAATTGAATCGATTGGTGAATCGTCTCCTACTGAGACCTCTTCCCTTTTTCTAGATATTCTTCTCGTTTGAAGCTAGATGTTCACACGAATGCCTCCTTTGGGCCCCGTCATTCAGCAAGCTCGAACGCACCGCTTGCAAAAAAATTGTAAGCCATTTTCGGCTCAGCATATTATTGTAGTGATCCAACAAACGGAAAAACAGAGACGGTTAGATGATCCAAGCTAGTCGCTCTTCTATAGAACTAGCGTATTATTGCGTTCTAGTGAAAACTATACTTAAGTGTTACTGCCGACAAATGCATACCTTTGACTGGCGGCCTTCGCTATTTTTTTTCGTGAATAAACATGTGTGCTCCAACTGTTTACGTTACCAAAATTTCCCGGTTTTTTTTTTAAAAAACACTTTTTTTTTCTGCTAAAGGCTAGGCACGTGTCGATGTTTTTAACTAAGAGTTTATTGCCGTCTTTAAAGGTAGCTAAAGCGTCCATAAGATCGGTAGCCAATCTAAAAAGTAGATATTCTTTACGACATTTGGGGGGCATTCGACGATAAGCGTAATTAGGCTGTAGTTACGGAAATCGTTTTCCTGTTAGCAGACAAAGACGATATAGTAAAAACTGCAAAGTCGTAACTAGCGATTACGCCGGAACTACTAGCCAAGTTTTTTCGTAGCCGATTTAGGAGAACATACGTATGACCATGCGACTGTCTAACATACTATTTAAGCAATGCATAGATTTATTAACCACACTGGATGGTGTCTATTCTGCAACGTTGCCAGTGAAATAAATGACGGCATGCATATCCAAGAATTAAATAAAAAATTCCCAGGGCTATCTATTATAGTAATAAAAAAACTTAGCTTGCTGCACTATTATTGGATTTAGTTGAGTCCTTCATGTTTGGGCTACATCATGGAATATTACAAAAATATATATGGGGTTACTGTCTACGTTATTATTATGTTATGTTATTGTCCATTACGCAGGCATTTCGTAGAATGACAGTGTTATTTTTCATCGAAGTTTCTTTTATTTGCATAAAATTAAATGATTATTTATTTACGTACAACTGACGCTTCATTCTCATCCCCTCGGTTAATAGTCTTCACCAGACTTGACTCAACGGTTCTATTTTGCCTTATAAATCTATCTTATCCCGCCATTTTCCGGATACGCTGACACCATTCGTTGTTAGTTAAAAAAAACAGCTGATGAAAACCGTACCTGTCTATATCTCATCGATCCCTGAATCGAAAGGTGGCCATCTTTGCGGACACAAGGGCGAGAGTTTCACGAATATTAGAAGAGTACTAACTGTCCCATGTTCAACCTGGCTAGCGAGCTAACTAGGTGAATTAGAACAGTTATTTTGACGGCGAGGTGCGTTTGCTTTATCTACTGTAATATCATTTTCGTCCTAGATTTAATCGTTTCAACTGCGCGCTCAACCCGCCAGCGTGGCTTAGTTCTGTGATCAGTTTTGTGCATGGTAGTATATCATCTAGTTTTGTTGTATGGATCGGGTTCCTGTTCTCCAGTACCTGTCGCACCCCGGGTCGCTCATCGAGACTGGCTAGCAAACGATATGGACATTGTGTCCATCGGAATCGTTGCGTCACTCTCGCTCTCTCTCTTTTTTTGCTATGGGCTTTCGACGAAGCTCCTTATACTTCGTATGCGCTACAGTGGCACGACAGATTCTTCTTTTGGGGCTGATGCGTCTTCTGTCGTCTGGTTGCCAGCAAGCCCACGCTTGGTTGGTTGCTTCATTGGCTTTCTGCCCTCTCTCTCTGCAGGGCCGCGGTAGCGGTGATGTGCCGAAACCTTCCTCCATAGCTAGCTCGCCGTACCGCTTCACGAATCGCTCACAGGACCGACCGACCGATCGACCGCACAAGCGTCTCCGGACGCCACTCGGTGCTGCCATCGCTCCGGCGTTTGCTTCGGACACGGCTGGCGGTGAGTGACCCAGTGAAGAGCACGAAGGAAACCGAAGTGCTGTTGACCCAAACCGAAGCGGCTGAGCGTCTGCTGCCAGCCATCGGCCGCGTGCTGCTGCAGGGCCATAACAGCAACTAACCAACAAGAGCAAAGGAAAAGTCACCTGAACTGTCCGGACTGCTGCTGCAGTTGTCGTGTGTACGATCAACCAGCCTTTTATTATTCAGTGTGTATCGGAAAAGTGTACGTTTTCATCCGAATTGATCACCTGTCTTTCATCTGTTTGTCTCTTTAACTCATCATGATGGCGGTAGATACAGCGGAACTGTCTCCCGTTAGAGATTGGCTTGATGACATTGTCCATCTAGACCGTGACCCTCGAACCGCCCAGTGGTGGTCAACAGGATACATAGCTGTGCCCGCTACGCTAATTCTGTACAGTATCGCTGCAACAGCTGTTCCGTTGGTGATGGGTAACCACAAGAAGCGCCTGCCTATTTCAGCGTTGGTTTTACCCTATAATGCGTTAATGTGTGTCTCCCACGCCTTGGCGGCAGCACTCCTTTTTAATGCGTATCAAGGCTCCGGGAGATCATTTGTGTGCCAGCATCGATCTTTTGAGACGAGCTCGGCTTCGTCATCAATTCTCAACCTGATGTGGCTTTACCTTGTGCTCAAGATGCTGTCCATGTTTGATGCTCTTATCCTCCTTTCATACCTAAAAGAGAAGCGTGTGACGAACGCCGTCGTTCTTAACGGATTTTTCAGCGTTTCGACAGTTTGGTGGTTCTTGCGCTATGGTGCCGATGGACATGGAGTGCCAGGAGTTGTGATCTTGTGCCTCGTCGATGCCCTTACCTATGCATATTATCTATGTTCAATGCTTGGTCCTAGAGTGAAGTCAGTGGTACGACCTCTTCGCGTGCATGTGTCACGTATCCAGCTAATCGGAACGGCTGCAGCCTGGGCCCATTACTTTATCGCGCTGATCGCTGAGTGCGCAAATCCCGGTGTTCTAATCTTAGTAGGTTTTGCCTTTGTCGGCCTAAGGTTCCTTCGCCTATTTGACTTTTACACGGAAAAGTTTGTCCTGAATGGCATGCGGCTTGGTTTTGACTGGAGTATCATAGCGGGCATGCTTGAAAATTGCTGCTTCGCACAAGGAAACCCAAACGGCCAAAACGACGACGATGATAACGACTATGTAACGAATACCGGCCCCCAGGTTACCTCAGGCTTTCGAAACGGATACAGTGGGCCTATCCACAAGCCGAAAAGAGGTTAATTTGCGAACGCCCTTCGATCGAACAACACGATACAAAACATCTAGATCAGATGCGGAGAAATCGAGAAGTAAAGTATCAACAGAGGTTGGTAAGCGTATGTCGGCTGTGAATGTAGCGTTCACCTTGCGATATTCGCCTAATAGACGGGCCAGTGACACGCAGTTAACAACTGGAAAAGACTGAATGTTACCGATCGATTCTTACCATCGTATCAACGTCACTATCATCGTAAGCTACTATAAGGCGCGTATACGCCACGATGCGTATATGTTACCTTACCCACTCGTCGTAACTGTGATTCAATGCTATATAATATTACAATCAACTTATTCTATATATGACTACTCATATTGCTAGCTGTTCAATATAAGGAGAGCAATAAAGCAACTAAGCCGATACAAAGGTGAACTACATTAGAATTGCTTAGATAGCACCACAAGTGTGATTTAAAGGTTTCTATTTACATAAATGCATAAAAAGCCACACTTTTGTGTAGCTATTGATGGCTAATCATTCTTACTATTAGCGGAAAGGCAAAGTGACAGATATCGCAACACGATATCAATCGTTACCATTAGTACAATTACAGGCTGTAGTACCGAACAGTCTAACAGCAGAGCTACTACATGCACCTTCTGTCAGGCCGTTATTCTTCCACGCCACTTACTCCCTAGTTTTACCGCGCAAGAGAGAATCTACTAATCTTCAACAGCTAAAGGACTTCGTTCAAATATCTGTCTGATGGTCCAAACTTTTCCCTGTCGGCCGAGCCCTGCTGTTTGATTTTTCGGCCAGTTGATTTATTCCTGTAAAAATGGCCATATTGAAATAAAGTGAAGATTTGCCTAGGCTGTTCTTGCTTTGGTCGGCCGGGGAGGCAGAAACGCAGCCAATGTGGAATCACGGCCTGTAGCAAAATCAGCCATTTTCGTCTTTACTTCACTCTCTGTTGCTGTGTTGAGTTTAATATGTACGCATGGGCCTGTGTGTGTTTAGCAGTCCGTGAAGGTCTGTGTTTTTCTAGATACCTGCCTAGGTAGATATAGAATACGTTTGGGTACGAAAAAAACGAGGTGAAGCGTCTGCAAATTAAACGCATATTGAACCGAGACTATTCAATATCGTTATTATTTTTTCTTGTTGTGCTTAACCCGATGAATTGCTCAAAAAAGGGGATGATTGAACAGACGCGAATAAGACTTCTGCCGGTGACTTTCACAGGAAAAGATTTTCACTCATCTGAATATGATTACCAAATATGGGCTGGTAAACCTTGTAAAAATCAGCTGATGATCTCTGCCAGATTTAGTGCTCTGGGTTATTCCATCTTAAAATTTCCCACACTTCTAGTCAATCCTATATGCAGCTATCATTATGTTTCGCTCCATGGTTCAGTATATTGCGACGAACGTCTCACGGGATTAGGATTGTATTACACAAAATATCTCATCGAAACAAGCTAGAAGCGTTACGGGGGGGGGGGGGGGTAACATAGCTTATCAAGTGGTATGACGAGATCCTGTTTTGATTAATGTGTTCGTCTTACGTGATCTGCAACGTAAAGTCACCAGTCGCTCTAATCGTCCAAGTGCGCGCTGACAAACTGGTAACCCGAACGTCAGCTTCAGGAACCAGTTCATTGGCCCCTATAATTACGTCATAATAGTAATGTGAATAGAAATCATTCGCCAACGTGTATTTGAACCTATGGTTATTTTGTACCTTCTATTATTTCTCTTGCTGCGGGCCACAGTTGACTTGGTCTGTGGCTAGCGATAAACAATAAACAGACAGGATTACAAGAAACTATACTTTTCCACAGAATTTATCTACATTGATTGTGTATGTACGTGTTTGGTCTATAAGGAGCGCGCAACAAATATGCGTAAAAAAACGTTGATGTTGCGTACACAAACGTGCGGCAGTAATAGGTCGCAGCTGGCCTGCGAAGGAACAAAATACATCGTTTGTAAATAATTTACATATGTAGGCTTTATATTTTATGGCCACCTTCCCAACGCGTTCGTCGGACTAGAGAGTCGGAAAGCCAGAGTTAAGGTTCGTTTTAGAAGTCGTATAAATCAGATAGGCAAGCCCGATAGCATTCATAATTAAACCCAGACAAAAACCAGAAACGTATGAAGTTGTTAGAGAATACTATTCTACAGAAAAGGGCACTTCTGAAAAAAAATGACATTAGCGTTATCATCTGTGATAGCTTATTTCTGTATTACAGCATAACAGACATTTGTGCTGCTCCATGCTTATCGATACGCAATGGCGATGCACACAAATACGCTGGTTATGTTGTCGTCGCTCAAGTCGTTATCTCAGCATTCGAACTATAAGATATTGCTGAATTATCGTAAATTTATTAATAATAATAATAAAGGCAACTTTAAATTAAGTCAAAATCGAAACGAGGTTAAAACATTAATCGTTCTTTATTTAACTCGTCGTTTTTTTAATTAACAAAGAGTCGCCACTCGCATTTTCTCAATCATCTATGTGTTTGTCGTTATTCTCTAAAAACTTCTTCTACCTGTCAACCAATTTATTTATCATTTATTCCTTCACGCCAGAAATAATCAGATTTATCGTTGAAGGAAGCGTTTTTATCTTGAACTTACGATTTTATTTTCTAAGATGGTTGCGAGCTTTATTTGCCAGTAACTGAAAACGGAGCTATTCCGTTTGACGGAGCTCTGTAAAATGTGGTGGGTGCAAAAGCTTCCCGCTAAATCTCATGCAGGACCGATTTATACAATATTTGCTACATGCTGCTCGCCATCGCAACGGGGAAGGCCGACCTTATTTTGTCGTTCGGGTTCTTACCGGTAGATAATATCGTTTATTCGATACAATCGGGCGTAATACTAGTTGACTGTTCTCTTGTTCCTAAGCATATCCAAGTGTATGAAACTCTTCCAGTCTCATAACCCTTTTTCGTATGGAGATCTGGCGTAACTTTGGGTCTACCTCCAGGAGCTACCCGCTGTTTTCTAACCTTCAGATCGACGTTGTGCCACAGATTCTCGTCAACCCTAATAATTTACAGTAGAAACCTGCTATTGTAGCTGCGTGTTGCCCGGTATTGTGCGAGATGTTGAAAATGAGTGAGGAGCTGTCATTCTTTGATTCGCTTTTCTCTACCACTAAAAAACAGTCGACTATAAAAACAGCGCGCGCATTACAGGTCGCTTCAACAAATCTAATCATCTATTGAAATAAACTTTTGCCATTTGTGAATCGGACAGAAGTCGTTATTTTGATAAGAGGATGGGTAATGGAAAACTCAATTTATATCGACGGTACTGAACCCGCGCAAAAAGGAATCTCGAATAAATGATAATTTGACTATAGGTTCTTCTATAAATCGACGGTAGCGGGATGCTCCGATACATCCATTAAGTACGCTCCGCTATTAAGAGATGAAGTCGAAGTTCTCGATTATTTGATCGTCGAGTCTCCTCCAAAGGCAGCAAGCCATTTTCTTTGGTTATGTCCAGTTTATAGTAAATAGCTAGCAAAGTAAAGGGCATTATCAGACATTTTGAAAGGGATTACGTTTCCGCTTAGCAGTTCCGCTGCCAGTTGGGTGAAGCAATTATGTTTATAGATGCGTGTTTCCATTGTTTGTACTTACTATTAACGATTTCGTTGTTTGTCGTCGGTTGCTTCGTAGTGGCGACGGCGGAAACTGTGGCTCCGAAGCGTATTTTCCTCGCATTTCTGTTGTGTCGGACAAAAGGCTTCGAAACAAAAGCGTGTGTTTTTTTATGAATTTCGACCATTTCTATTGTACAACAACTGGACCAGAGCAAAGCCTGTGCAACTGCTAACAAGAAAAAGAAAGGACGAATGTCGCAAATAGTTACCATTGTAACCGCCTGGAAGTGGGGCGTGCAGCGTCTATAGTCCGGTCATTTGGTCAAAATCATCTGTGTCAAGGGTTTGCTGACATCAGAAAAAGACCATTGTTGCCAAAAATTACTAACAATCCTGGTTAAATCCTATTCAGAAGATGTTCACCATCTACTGTGACTTTACCCCTGGTAGTATTATGTACCAAGCTATAACAGGTGAAATAGGAAATTGCGAAAGCTGGGGAGTTTTGATTTTTCTATTTTTGTTTTTTGCAGGTAATTTTCGCATGTGCTACGAGAAACTTAGGCACAAATAAGGCTTCTTTATCAAAGTAACAAAGAGAATTAACACTGCTAAACGATACTGAAAGGAAACATCAAGACGGGCCAGTTTGTTATTTATTAAAATGTAGATATATACAAGTAACATCCGCATATCCGTATCGTATAAAATTATTATTGTCTGATTATCTTTCACGAACTAATCATAAAAACCAGTGTGGCTCCATCCTTACGCTGAATAGCTTTGTAAACTTTCTGTAACGATAAAAAGGCACTATGAGGTAACGACAACCGCTAACAAGGACCACACCTACAGCATGACACTTCATGTAGTCACATATGCTATCAGATACTATGCTAGAGAAGGACGACAAAATATTGGCGACGGAGGCAGGTAAGAAGGCAGAAAAAGTATGGATGGCAAGTTTAAGCTGCAGAGGTAACGCCACAGCCTTTGTTCTGTTAGGCAGAGATGTGCCGATAAGTTTTAACTTATTGTTAACATGTGACACGTCATAAAAAGACGACTTGCGGCCTAACGGACTTGTAAAGCCAGTTATATGAGAATCTTATATAAATGAAGTCGTTTAAAAAGTCCAATGTCAGCGATCTCTTTGACGTTTTGCGGTGACGAAATTGTTAATTACGAATTGGAATAACCGTAATCATTAGAGGTAAGTCACATTGCGATTCGTTCTCGTAATTAGCTATACTTAGTTTTCGAACAACTTTTTACCCTACAAGTTTGCCGAGAGTACAAATTTCCAATTCTCAGAGAAAGTTCTCCTTTCCTTTTTTGAAACTAGTACAGGTGAGTATAATGTTAGCATCATGCTACTTTAGTCCTATAA